GAAATCGCGAGAATAAAAGGGGACTATTTTTTTCCGTCTTGCCTTCGCAGAGCTTGATGACGTAATTGTGGGATTGAACGCACCCGTTTGGCGACAGTCGAGCGCAGCTCATGGATTGGACGCCAGAACAGCGTGAACACTCGACTTCGCATCGGAACAATCGATGCCTCGGCGGACACTCGGGCAGAGGCTCGTCGTAAACATAGAATTAAAACGGCGGGAAAAAAGAACAACAACAACAGAAAAACACAGGGACAAAATTTAACCTAACCTAACCTCTCCGCCTTTGAATCGTTTTTTTGTTGTTTTGTTCTCTTTTTTTTTTTTTGTGCCGAGATTATTAGTGTTGCGCTTGCCGTGCTCTGCTCGCGTCTTTGCCTCCCTCCCTGTCCACCTGTCTGCCTCTGTGGTTCTAGAGATACTCAAACAAAAACGAGTGCATTTTTCTTTGTTTCCAGCTGTGTCCCAGAGCAAACTTGCACGAGTCATATTATTGCGCTCGAGAAGCTTCTCGCTGAGCCCACGTCGCCAAATTGCCGTCCAGACCCATACTCGGTCCCCGGGATGAAAGTGGACGTCACGCCGCCGAAGATTGTAGCGGCCGGCGTTGGCATGTTGCTGGTCTTGAATCCGTTATCTGGCTAGCTGGCGGATACACCACCTGAAAGGGTGTCACTCCTGTGGCCTCTTGATCTGCCGTGTTGTAGGCATACGTGACGTAGGGCAGCACTTCGTCCCAGGTCTTGTGCTCCACGTCGACGTACATAGAGACGATGTTGGCGATTGTTTTGTTGAGCCGCTCCGTCAACCAGTTGGTCTGCGGATGGTATGCAGTTGTTCGACGGTGGTCCGTGTGGCTTAGACGAATGATCTCTTTGGTCAACCGCGCCATGAACGATGACCCTCGATCTGTGATCAGGACTCTGGGGGTGCCATGCCGGAGGACGATGTACTCGATAAAGAACTTGGCGACTTCGACAGCAGTCCCCGGCGCAAGGGCTTTCGTCTCGGCGTAACGAGTAAGATAATCTGTGTCAACGACTATCTAGCGGTTCCCCATCGTCGACCCGGCAAATCCATTCCGATTTGCTGGAAGGGCTTGGTTGGAGGGGTAATCGGCTGAAGGAGACCTGCTCGCTTTTACGGCGGTTTCTTGCGTCGCTGGCACTCATGTCACGATCGTGTGTAGAGATGGACGGTCTTCGGAAGCTTGGGCCAGTAGTATTTTTCACGTATTCGGGCTAGTGTCCGGCTGTAACCGAGGTGTCCTGGAGTCGGGTCGTCGTGGCAGGCTTGAAAAATCTCTTCTCGAAGGCTGGTAGGGACTACCAGAAGCCGCGGCGAATTACTGGTTCCGAACTTATTCTTATAAAGCACACCTCGTCGAATAGCGAAGGTCGGCAGGGCTCGCGAAAAGACACGAGGAGCGGTACATCCTCGTCCTTCTAGATGCTCAATCAAGGCGCGCAGCTCCGGATCGCCTCGTTGAAGTCCTGCCATGCATGTCGCCGGTGTCCACGGCACCTAGGAAACATTCGTCGTCATCGTCGTCGGTACAGCCTGACGCTTGGACGGGGGCTCTGTACAGGCAGTCGGCGTCACTATGTTTCCGTCCTTACTTGACGACCACGGTCATGTCGAATTCTTGCAGTCGAAGACTCCATCGAGCAAAGCGTCCTGAAGGTTCTTTGAGATTTGCGAGCCAACAGAGCGAATGGTGGTCTGGGGCCACGCGGAACGGATTTCCGTATATATACGGACGAAACTTTGTGATCGCCCATACGACCGCGAGACATTCTTTTCCGTTGTGGAGCAATTTTTCTCCACCTTCGACAGTGTTTGACTTGCGCGGGCAATGACTCGCTCCGTGCCTTCCTGTAGCTGTGCCAATGCCGCGCCAAGTCCGGGGTTACCTGCATCCGTGTGAATCTCGGTTTCGGCGTGCTGGTCGAGATGTCCAAGGATTGGAGGTTTCTGAAGTCTTCGTTTCAGTTAGTCAAACAACGGCTTTCTATCGCTGTATTGGCGACATGAATAGGGTCGAATTTTGACCAAACGCTCACTATGACGTGTTGAGTATGATGAATTCTTCGTTTAATAATGGAGATGAGAGACTGTCAACTTTGACGGTGCTGGCTTATTGACGTACACCGTCCAAAAACAGGCAGTCGATAATCCTGGTCGCAGCGTCATAGAAGGCACCGAAACATCTGGTCCCCAAAACACGTTGGTGTTTACGCGTCAGCTCTAGCCAATCGCTCCGCGCGTGGCCTTGTCCAGACAGGCGCGCACATCGGTGCTCATTCCCTGCTCGGCAATGAAGGCCCTCGCCCTCTTTCCGGAAGACGGAAGGAACAACAGGGCCGCCTAAACATAGTAGTTCTGGCAGGTTTAGCACATTTTCCTAAAGCAGTTTGGGGAGCGTGGGCTCTCGCTGCTTCCAGCTAAACGCGACCGTTATCCGACTCGCGAACACGATCCGCTCGAGCGTTTCCCATCCCGAGCTCCGATCGCCAACCAAATCGCTTTTCAGTAGGAGGACACGGAGAAGGCGCCTTGGGGCCGGTCTTGGACCGATCGAGACGCTGCCCGCCGTGCACTACCGGAGTTCCTAATGAGAAGAGGTTTTACGTTGGAGGGGCTTTGTTCGTTTGTTCACGATGCCCACCAACCACCCTTCTGCTGGTACATCGCAACGCGGTAGAGGGAACAAACACACACACACAAAACATGCTAACGCTATATGGGATGTTCAGTTGTAATTCGAACCTAAAAAAGGGTCAAAGGGTTTCATTTTCAGCCTCTTTTCATCGGGCTCAGGGGACATTAATTATGGGAATAACCGTCACGGTAAATTTATTAATTAAAATCTGTCGATCTACTTTTTATTCTGGGTGTTATGGATCGTGTTACAATTACTTTTAGAGGCTAGAGCAATTGAAAGGATTTGCGCGAAGGTAATGTTTTTTTTTTTTTTAATCTTCGTGTAATGTTTGCCTTTTCTTCAAAATAGCGCCCAAAAAAGAGCGTCACCATCCGCGTTTCGAAGAGTGACGTCGTCCCAATCTCGGCAGCGCGTCTTGGTGGATTCGCCGACGACGCAAGTGGCGAAGAGGCTCTTCCAAAGCGTCATTGTGGGCAGGGCTTGCGCAGTTGTTTTACGCGGAATCTCGAGATCGATTGACAAGCACGAAAACTGATCGAGGAATTTATAAAAGAACCGTTGCCGCAGATTCTTTAAGTTGATTTGGTCTCCCATTCTAGCTGCCATCCATACTGCAATTACAACACGATACCTAACGAAAAAATTGTCAAGGTGTATGTTGATCATCATATTAAAATCCTGCTACTGGGGAGAAAATTGGAAGAGAAAGTGTAAAAGAGACACACAAATAAGGGGACACACAAAAGACTCAAACTCAGCTATCAAATTATATTCCGTCCACAGCTTTTATAACCACGTCCCAAGGTAACCGCCAACGCACACCGGTACGCTTCTGCCTTTCCAGTACAAGCACAAAGAAGATCTTCTCTACCCCGAGAGTTCACCATTGTACTCTTGGGATAGAGAAGGTCTTTGTGCTTGTACTGGAAAGGAAGAAGCGTACCGGCGTGCGTTAGCGGTGACCTTGGGACGTGGTTAAAAAAGCTGTGGACGGAATATAATTTGATAGCTGAGTTTGAGAAGTATCGTCTGTCCCCTTATTTGTGTGTATTTTTTACACCTTCTCTTTCAATTTTCCTTCTCAGTATCAGGATTGTAACGTCATGATGATCCCAAAAACTAAGAATTAAAAAGTTAATGAACCGATTTTAGTTAATTAGACAATTTAGCGTAACGATTCATCCCTCATTTCATGACCGCCGCCGTCCACCGCCACTGGCTGACCGAGGGATCGCACTCATCATAATACGTGTCTTCGCCCACTCCCATTTGACATAGAGCATTTCGACGTTCAGGGAATGCATCTCCAAGTAAAGAAACGTTGGTACAGGAATTATTCGACGCCATAGAGTTGCAAAAGCAACCTCCGGTAAAGCTGCTTGAAGCGGGTGTGTCGTCGCTTCCCCGCAGTGCAGCACAACACCCTTTTCTGCACACTTTTGGCAGCCTTCAGACAATAACTCCACTTTCGAGGTGATTCTCAACGCTCTCAAAATAGGGATGCTGAAAGTGTGTAGACAGTGGTGTCTAAGTTTTAGTTCGTACTAATGCAGATCACTGACTGGTGATCGGAAAGTTGCGGGGACAGCACCAATCTGAGCGGTCGTATTTAAATTAATAAGTGAAGCCGCGTCTACCCATAATGGTTTCATTGTTTTTTTACATTAATGTCTCGTTGCGTTAAAAGCGTAATCTCCGTCACCACCGTCCCCAATTTGTGGTCACGGAACGAACAACGCAACATCTGAACGCCCGCGCCGAGTGCTTTCGGTGCAAAGATCTGCTCCAGGCGAAGGTGGCGGCTTCCGCTACGAACTCAAAGTCGGATTGAGTCGTTAGCCAACGAGAGCCCGCTAGGCCACCTCGAGCGTGGGTCCTCTGCCACGTCTCATCCTTGCAACGAGCGGTCGACGGCTTCGCGAGCTTCTATTTCGGTGGCGAAAGTTGTGCGTCAGTGGTCGCGAGGTATCGTAAAGTGGCCGCCATCGGGCTTACATAAGCTTCGATGCCCTTTCTTTTTTGCGTTTCTCGCATTGACTCGCGCGTCTGATGTCAAGGGATGCCCAATAACGAGAGAGAAGAGAGCCGGAGCGGCGGAGATAGAGACGAGCGCCGGAGCAGGCGATTCCGCCAGAAGAATTGGTTTCCAAGGTGTCGCCACACCGTAAGTGCAGACTGGCCTCTCGCTGGATCTAGATTGGCGACGTCTAATTGTTTTTTTGTTTTTTGCCTCGGCGATATTTTCCCCGGCGTCCAGGGTCTCACGATCCCTGTCGGTCCGCACCCTGCGGGCGAAGCGGACGGGAGAAGGGCCGCGTGGGCGGCGTGCTCTCACCTGGGAACTCGGGCGGACGGCGTCCTTCTGGAGGCGCTTTCACTGAGTGTCGAGACGCGCTCCTCTTTGGCCGGCCCCGTCGGAGCGAATCCAGGGCGACGCCGAGGTTTCCCCGTTCTCAGACGGCCGGAATAGCGCCGGAATGTGGACGCCTCTCTGGGGAGGAGGCGGCGCACCACGTGTTCCGAGAGGCGACGCAGCTCGCCTCGCGCTCCTCCGGGTTCCCTCGGACTTCTCACGCGGGAAAGTCTAGAAGCCGCTCGGGCTCCGAGGGCTCCCGCGCTGGGACCGAACAGTCGAGCGGCACGAGGACGGCTCGCCGCGGACGCCTTTCGTCGCCGACGCGGGGAAAGTCGCGGTCGTGGACAGCCCGGCGCGGCACAGCGTCGAGATGCTATCACGTCCTTCGGGCCGATCCCGGGCCAATCGGGGACAAGCTGCCGATTCAGCGAGCCGATTTTTCTGGACGGCAGCGATTTGGGCAGAAGGAAAGCCCCGAGGAAGAAACGGGCCGAGAAAAGGCCGCTGCAGCCGTGCATGCAGTCACCGCGGGCCATGGCCGCCGCCGACGGCCGCAGCACGTCGGCCAACTTTCGGCTGCGGCCTATTTGCGGCTGCTCCCGTTTCGAGGCACGAGAAGGGCCCCGCGATCCCTGACGTCTGGACGGGAGCCTCGACCAGGGAGCGGCGGGCGACACTCGCGAACGCCGCCGTCGCCCACGGGCACGTGCCGTCCGTGTGTGAAGTGGTTCGTAGCGCAGTGGCGAACCTCGGTCGCGCTCCAGGTTACCTGGCGTGTCCGGACGTCAGCCGACGGATTGTACGACAGGCGCGCGCGGCGTGAGCGCGAGGAAAGGTCGAGAAGGGCCCAAGGTTGGCCGCGCACTCTCCCACCTGTGTGGCTGCTGCTGCTGGGTCGGCCGTCCGCTGCCAGTAATCCCCGCCTTGTCGGCGAGGGCCCCTGGGCGCACTCTTATAAGCGTTCGGTCGCCAGGTGGCCCCTCGCGGATCCAGGGAGGCATGAAAACGGCGCTGACCCCGTTCCCGCTTCTCCGCGCTCTCCGTCGCCGCTCCACCGAGCCCGGACCCCGATGGAGTCAGAGGCCACGCGCCGATGCCCCTCCGCCTCGGGCTTCCCGCCCAACACCGCCGACGGACTCGCGACGGGCCCTCGAGTCCGGAAGACAACGCCGGAGCTCTTTCAGCGTGGGGCACGCTGGACAATGCGTCACCCACTCCAGTCTCGATCGCTGGCACGGTACTCGAGCCCAATGTGTGAGCCAGCCTCTCCGGTTCCAGCTCCAGCCGAAGCCGACGCTACGAGCTGATTGGGTCCAGCAGGCAGTCTCAAACTTGTATCATAGGGATGTTGGTCACGCTTCTCTGCGTGCATCGCTAAACAGAAAAGGCACTTTTGGCGCTGCTTCATCGGTCCGATTACCTCGCAGCGTCGGCTGGGTCTGAACTTCAAACGAAGAGGCCTCAAGTTTGCGGCCTTGCTATCGGAGCGGTATCCGACTCGTGTCGCGATTCCAATTTCGTTTCACCCTAAGTCGGTCCACGTCACGAGGGGCCAGTCAAACAGCTCCGAAAGCCTCATGCAGTTCGTCGTCTTCCAATGGCGACCGATCAAGCGCAGTGAATACGCCGCGACGGTGCGCTTTTCATCCGCGTCTCTGTGTCTCCGATACCCCAGCGCTTATCACCTGGGCGAAAAATGCTGAGTCACTGGCTGTGGACGCAGCCTCTGATATACAGAGCGACGGCGCATGCTCAGAAGGCATTCCACAGCCGTCAAAGATGGCAGCGCGCTGAAGGCGCTATTTGTCTGATACGCCCCTGGCCACGAAACTTCTCCGTAACGCTATGGGAGAGCTTGGTACGTGACGACGCGCGGCGCTGGCTTCGACAAGGAGGCTAGGAGCCTCCAGTCTAAATTGCAGTGCTGCGAGTCTGGCAACTGTAAAATGCGTTCGGATTTCGAAGCCCCTTCGAAGGAGCCATCAATACATCGAAAGAACGTGTCAGTGCGTTCACGAACAGCGTTTCTCGTAATAGAAGCGTCTTTAGCTCTGTACACACAATCAACGACCCAATCCTGCTGATCTGCGACGATCTCCAAAATAATACAACTTTTATTCCTTTTTTCTTTTCTAAAGACGACCTTTCAATACCTCCATCGCCGTCAGTCAGTCAGAATAAGTTTACTAAGAGGGATATTTCACCATGATCTTTCGACTCGAGTAGGGGTATGGGTTAAGGGGTAGGGTTCAAAAGTGCTCTATTAGACCTGCTGTCTTGACGAAATCAAGCAGCGAGTCTATAATCGGCTTCCTGTGGTCTGGGATGTGCTTGGGGGCTACCCAGTCTTCGTATTGAGGTGTCCTCAAATCTTGCGAGAGGCCTTGGATTACATGTGTCGTTGCTTATTTGTTGTCTTGCAGTCTCAAATCAGGCCTTTGCAGGTGGCGTGTTGTCTGCATGCCTTACATCTGCGGTCCGGTTCCTCGTCCTTTGTGGAGCCTCTTACGCATCGCGGGCGTGATATTTGTTGCTCTTCTTCGGAGCCAGACCTTCTATCACCTGGAGTACTTGGTTCGAATCTGGTTTTCCTCCTGAGGCAGTGGTGCAAACAGCATTGCCTTTCTTTCTCGGTTGTTGGCCTCCTTGACTCCTTCATGGTGTGCCTTTTCTGCGCTAGTCCTTTTCGAGGGGTCTTCGATACCTTGTGCGGAGTTAGATGCATGTAGCTCTTTCCGCGCGGTTTCGTAGGCCTCCTCGTCGCCCAGGATGTCCTCACCCGGCATGAAATCTGGATGTGCCCTCCCGTGGACCGGATAGTTTTTGCGATTGTTTTAATTTTCTTAACAACGTCGCTTCTGCTGTTCGTTTTTTTTTGCATTCCCTTACGGCCTCTTGCGAGTCCGTGAATATGTGGATTTTCGCTTTCTTTTCTTCGGCGCTCTTCTCGAGAGAGAAAAAGATAGCCTCGAGTTCGGCGGTTTTCACCCTCCTGCTGCATGGGAGAAATTTGCTTTCCGCAAGGCCTGTTCTTGTCGAGCAACATATGCTATTGCTGTGGTACAGTCTTCACCTCTGGTGGTATCCGTGTAAATGATTTTCGTGTTTTCCTGCAGGGTGGTCCCCTCGATTTCTTGTCTGTGTCTCTCGGCTGTACGTTTCCTTCCCGTCTGTTCGTGTCCTTGATTTTCTTTTTTTATGTGGGCCATAGCCTCCTTTATACTGACAAAGCCTGGCAGATGGCCCCGAGATGCGGACGCCGAAAAGAAAGAGGTAGAGCGGCAGACAAGAGTCATGTAACGGGCATCCCGCTGCGGCGAGACGCCGAAACACACTTGTCCCGAGCGATGGAATGTCCGCTCGTGCTTCTCGCGTTCCTCGGGCTACCGCTTCTTTCCTCGTCGGGTTTGAAAACCATGTTTCGGATCCTCGCCGCTGCAAAAGCTGTGCGCTGAATACGAGACTCCCCGAGAAATGCTCCGTGCTACTAGATCCTCGCGTTCCAAATCTGCGACCGGGCACTCTATGGCTCCGTCATCGAACTGCCAAGCTTTGTGAGAATAGAGGAGGCTATGTGTGGGCTTACTTGCGACTGTTGTTTTGTCTTCCCACGGCGGTTGTGGTGGTGCCATGCTGGGAATTTAGAAGTTCTTTTCTCCAAGGTAATCGAAGATGATCCTCCCTGGGTAGGCCCTTCGCGGGCAAAGTCTTTGTCCTTTGTTGGCTTCCTCGACCAGGTCGATCACGTTGTTAAATTACTTTACTTACTTACTTTGAGCAGCTTGTTCTAGATCCGTTACGCGGGTTAAATTTGGGTTCTAGGTCCGTTACGAGAATGAATTTACCCTCGTTGTGGTTCTGTTGAAGATTTCTAGGTTTTCCTTTTGTCCTTTCCTGAGTCTGAGATAATTGTGTCTAGAGTGCTTTCGAGACCAGCACGGCGCGTACCAAGGGTCTAAGGGTGCCTTTTTCGGCGCTCCACGCCTCGCTGGTAGCTCTCTTAAAGTCGTCCAGTCCCTCTTTTCATTGGGTCTTTATCCGGTTCAGACAGCTTTCGACCCCTCCGTCCTCGTCACTTGTGAGGCCCAATACCTTCACTTTGAATTCCCGTTGAATTCAGGTGCCATCCACGTACAGGTTAAATGGCGTCCCCTATGTTGAGGTTTCTTGCTCTCTTGTTTGACTCCACAATGTCTTCTCCGCAGAAATCTTCATTTTTGCGTCCAGCAAGACTCTCCTGGTGGCGTTCAGGGCATCTTGTAGCTTGGTTTCTTGCTCACTTGCCATGCCCTCTGCAGTCCAGAGGGTCACATCGTCAGTGTCATAATTCAGCGCTCCGGCTAGCGCTATCTATACTCCGTTTCACCTTATGTTGCACCGCAGAGAAGGCTAGAAGCGCGAGCTGATGGCGTTGGGAGCTGCCCTTAACGCGCGAGAGCCTGTGCCGCCGAGACGTGCCCTAGAGCAAGGAGCTCGCGCTTGTAGCCTTTCCTGCGGTACATCATAAGGTGAAACAGAGTATGGTAGAGTCATTGCAAACCAGTACGCTCAATGCTTAGTAATTTTTCGTTCGTAAAAACATTGTTTTCATTGGAAACAACAGTAAAAAGGTTATTTGTAAGTTATATCGTTAAAGGTCAATAAAGAATGACAGACGTGTGCATGCATTCGTCAAATACAGGCGTAACGAAATTTCGGTGTAGGATTATTTGTTCTTGAAAACTACTTGTAATCGCGAATTTGGTGTGGCTCGCAGAGAGCGGGGCGGCTAGAGTTCCTGTATCCTACGGGAGCCAGAGTTGCGCGTTTGTTTTCCACGTGCCGCCGCGCCGCTATTCGCCGAGATCCGATCACGTGAGGAGCCGGATCAAATGCCGTGCAGGAAAGTAGACGTTGCGCGCGTCACGACAGTACGTTCCCCTGCCTTTGAGCGCACCGCGCGCCTGGAACGCGTGGCGCCGCTATTCGCCGAATTCAGTCACGTAACGAGCGGGATCAACCTGCCGTGCAGGAAAGACGGCGCTACGGAGAT